CGTTTCAGTTTTATCTTTGAACTATTGTACGTATTTGTGCAAAAATGGTTATCATTTATTATAATACAATGTTACAGTCAACAATGAAAACAATAAGTCTTATTTATTGATTTATTGATTGATTGATTGTGGCAAGGCCGGTGAAAATTTTGCCAGGGCAAGTCAAAAATTTAAACCACTGACCAAACCGGGCCAGTAGTGCATGTGAAAGGAGAATGTAATTGTGTGAAAGCAAAAATATATGTATGTGAAAGGAGAATGTAAGTGTGTGAGAGTGCCAGAATGAATTATGGCTTGTACAGCCCCTCATAGTTATTACATATTAATATATATATTATGTTGTGCAGTTATGCCAACCAGTGCCACTGTGGGAACTGCTGACACAGTCCTACTGATTTAAGAGGAAATTAAAAAAACAGTGAAGATAAAAATGTTTGTTTTAATTAACATTCACATATTTTAGATTTATTTTACTTTTTTATAACAGTTTTGCAAGTGTTTTTTTTTTATAAAAAATTGAAAAGTTGTCCTGACAGAATGAGTGTGAATCCAAATGACAAACAATCATTTTAGTGACAGCATCCAATTATAAAACAGAAATTAGACTTGTGTTACCCAACCCAGTTTTCCCTGAATAGTTTTTAATATTGTGATGAACTATAGTATATAACAATCGGTCATAGTGTCTAAATAATTAGTCATCAGGGGTCTCATTTATAAATGTTGCGTACGCACAAAATGGGCATAGAAATTGCGTAAGCAATTTTCCACGCACATATCGGGATTTATTAAAAATAAACTTGGCGTAAATATGTACGCACCACACAGACATTCTAGACCATGCGTACGCGCTCTTTTTCCTGGTTTCGGGGAGGAGTCGGGGTGGAGATGCACAATCTTCCCCTGACTGGGATTTATGCGCAGGTTCTGGCGTACGCATGGTTTTATAAATCTGAAAACTTTTGTGCATACGCATAATCTAGCTTTTGTGCATACGTACACTTTTAGGATGAAATCTACGGAAAGTTGTATAAATGAGACCCCAGCACAGTTATGAACTGTAAAGTCTACTGAGTGTAATTTTCAAATACTTGTAAATGATGACAAAAAGATGCTCTTTCTCTCAGTATGTGGTCTAGTTGTAAAATAGTATATGAAGAGAAATGATAACATGACTTGAAGCTGCTATAGCAAGCAGTGCTCTCTGTTGCACTATACAAACCCCATATGATAGAGACAGAGCCTGTAAGTCCTTTTGCTCTGTCTTGCCTCATTAGGTATCATTTCAGTGGCTGTTGAAATAGTGAAAAAAGAACAGGAAAACAATGATTTTTGGGCACCTGAACAGATGGCTTCAGTGTGACAACACTGGGAAAAAAAGAGTGTACCACAAAATAATGGCAAGAAAACACATCTTTCTATAAGCTGTCCTTGTGTGTTGCACACACACGCACACACATGTCCAGTGTGGTCAGCTTTACTGACTCAAACTCTTAAATGAGCTGGTTCTTTTTGGTGAGTCAAAAACACAGACTGCATCCATATAGCCCAATTCCATTCATTTGTGAATCATAAAATTACTACTTCTACTTTTTCTGCAGCCATTACTCCAGTTTTCAATTTCAATTTTTAATAATTAATTTTATTTATGTATTGAGAAATTAATACTTTTATTCAGCAAAGACGCATTAAGTTGATTAAGAATGACAGGAAAGACATTTATAATGTTACAAAAGGTTTGTATTTCAAATAAGTGCTGATCTTTTACAGAATCCTGAAACAAATGCATCACAGTTTCCACAAAAATATTAAGCAGCAACAACTGTTTTAATTATTTAAACAGTTTTAATTATTTAATTAAAATGATTTATTCATTTCAAACTAAGTGCAAAAAGAAGGATGTAAAATGCTTTCTGAATGATTTCTGTACAAAAACAAGCAAAAATATGATTAAGTTGTATGATCTTCCTATTAGACTGTCTTTGGCGAAATGTTGCTCTTTTGATGGATATGCATAAGAGTAATTGCCTGTCACAACAGAAAATTACTTTCTCCTCATTATTGCATTTTGAAAAAAAATGTTTTTAATGCCCTTGTGGGTGTGTGCATTAGGATTTGTGTGTCTTGACAACATTTTTAATCCACCATTTGAAAGAATGTCATATTGATATTCTTTTCTGAAAGAGGGAAGGAAACAGTCAGACTGTAATGTGAAGTGACTAGAGTGTTATTTATAACATGTCTTTAAGGTCTTTAATGGTGCAAGGCAGCAGGAGCAGGAGCAAAGAGTCAGGAGCCAATGAGAGAGAAAGAGAGATGATAGACATTGGAATAAAGAGAGAGCAAGCAGGTTCACATTTTGTGTGTATAAATACAAAAACAGTTATAACATCTGTTATAACATTCTGCAGTAGCAACACCAAGGTCATGGCTTCAGTTCAGCTGTTGTACCTTTGGATAAAAGCATTTGCCAAACACAAATTTCTGGCAACATTGTTGACTTGATTGCACAGACACTATTGGAAGAGAACTGAACTGAGCTGCACGGTGACATCACTGAATCAACAATGAACTGACTTTAACTGATCAACTGACTGTTTTCTATTGTCCTCTTGCATTATCAGTGTATTTTTTTCCCTGTTTAACACTGTAAAGCTGCTTTGACACAATCTATATTGTATAAAGCACTATAAAAGTGGCTTGACTTGAGAAAATGTAAGATATGTAATTGTCAAAGATGTACTTCCACAGAAATATAGCAGAACGTTGCACTTCAACCAATTCAAGTATCGTGTATTGTCCTTTGATATATTTATCAACATCAAATTTTAGCTGTTATTTAGATGCAATAAACCACACACAAACATGTTAGTGTTTTTTTATTTCTTAAAAACCACAAGCTGATAGATATTTCTAGTCATTTTCTCAATAGAAAAGAATGAGTACCTATAATGGAAAGGATTTCTAGTCCTAACCACTAGTATATGACAGGTTGCTATG